CCCAAAACCCCAAAACCCCAAAACCCCAAAACCCCACAGAATTATCTCTCATTGAACTACCGAATTTAACCTTAAAATCTATACTTCAAAAATGGCATTAGAAAATATCAAATTCTCTCATATTTACACTTTCGTGCACAATCTGATATCTAATCAGCTTACCAAATAGCATAAAATTAGGTTTAAACAGTATTTACAACAGCAAGAACTCCTCTCTAACAAGTAATTAACCAAGTTACCAATCAAAACTCATACTGGCCTTTACATGTACTGTTTTACCAGAATTTATCACATTTAGCATCTTTCTCATTATTTTCAGAATCTACAGAAAATGGGCAAAGCTCATAGACTCAATCTATTTAAGCACTCTTAAGTACCAACTACTGTTTAAAAATATAAACTAGCTTATTAAACTGAGGACTAGCCCCAAATTTTAACAGAAACATTATAGACTGAAAGCTTATGGGTAAAACTTATTAAACAAAGACTTCCGTGAACATCACACTTTTCTTGAGATTTAGCTTCTGCTCTTTTGAGAACATTTTTGAGACTACTTGGGTATATCTTTTGCTACCTTTCTTAAAGCATTCAGTAGTTGATTCTTCTCTGATTGAGAGAGTCTTGATTGACTCTGAGGAGAGCAGAAGGGTCTTTATCTGGTCCTTTCCTTTAAGAGGGATTTTACTCAAATCTTCCTTCACGATTGAGAGAATCAAATCTGTGACACCAGACTCAAGTAGCTTAAGTAAGAACAAATGTGTGCTCTTTTCATAATGCATTTCTAATCAGAAATAGTTCATTTTAAGTCCTTTTAGTGCTTTAATAATACTTGCTGATTCTTTCACATCTGGGTATTTTAGGATTAAATTCTTGCAGACTGAAGGCTGACAGTAAACTAGAGTTTTCGCATCGCTAATCAGCTCGAACTCTTTGGATTCAATAAAGAAGTCTTCATAAAAAGGTCCTTTGTATTTTAGAGGGTACTTTGGTTCTTTCCTTCTTGCTAAAAACATGATGAGCTTGGTTTGATCATGAGTATTCATAGAATGCATACTCTCTATTTTGCAAAATGATTCGTCAGGTACCACAATGAACCCTTTGGGTTGTTTTAGTTTTAAGTAAGAATTATCAATATATCCGCAAGCTACGTTAGCGGCTGTAAATGATGCATATTGTTTTGAGTCAGAATCATAATAGAAAATATTTCAATCTTTCATAACAAGACAAGGGTCTCCAAGATAATAACCATGATCAAGAGAAACTCCTTCTCTTATAGCATACTTATGAAATTTGCTTTTGAGCATCATATGGGGACCAAGTGGATTTTCACAATAAACTTTAGGAGGCACACTTAGTGACTTGAAATTTGGGAAAATACTGGTCAATTTCTGAGAAATATCATGAATCGTATTTGGGTTATCAAACTCTTCATTAGGGTACCAAGTGATAAGAATATGCTCACATGTATCTCTAACCGACGGAGGAGTGATATCTCTGTACTGCTCTATAAAAACTCACTACAACCCCAAAATTAAACCTTACCCAAATCCTCAAGAGAATGTCATTGACTCTCTTCCAAATTCAACTGAGTCACTCTCTTCACTCAGTCATACCTCGCCATCTCATCCACCCAAGCTTGTCTGTCCCATCTGAGACAGCTCAGGTCAAAAGTATGACTATACTGAACGATATCCTGGTCACTGGAGGGCATGAAGCTTTCTAAGTGTCTGACTTGGATACACGTGGAGTCTAGATTGTATTCTTGTAGTGTGGAGTAGGGAGAGTTCAGGATTGTGAGAGACATCTTTTCTGTATAATATACATTGATCCTCTTAAACTTAATCTTATCACGCTTGTCACACCCCCTAATAAACTCACAAAAGGCTTCAATCCCCTTCTTATTCTTCAGCGAAATGACATAATCATACAGCACAAACTTCATGGGGCTACTAATCTTGTTAAAGTAGTCGGCAACTTTCTGGTTAAAGTTACCAGTCCATTCCAGAGTCCTGCGATCAGAATTATTCTCTAGTCCATTTATGAACGCTCTCTTGAGTTTATACCAGAGATCTCTAGTGGGTCTGGATAAGGTCAGGAGTAGCAGTTGGCATTCAAGAACGTTCCCGTAGTATTTCATGATGTTTATACAGTTGCTGAAGCGATAGAGCAAGAAGTGCAGGTCTTGGGGTGGGGCTGAGTCTGGAGGGAATTTTAGAGAAGATAAGGATTTGGGGGTTAAGGAAGGTTTTTAGGGAGAGGAAGCTTACCGTAAATGGCTTTTAAGTATCTTTCAGATTCCATTAATTTATTTATTATTAGAAAATTCTTGGATTTAATCTGTCAGGGGTTTTGGGGTTTTGGGGTTTTGGGG